AAATATTTAAAGGCTTAGCAAACTACATCAAGCAGCAACCAAGTACAAAGGTCTACTAAAATATATAATTGTTTGCTTTATTTCTTTATCTACTCTTCTATGTTTTAGGAAAAATAACTTTAAGAACTTAGCAATAATAGCAATAATCTATATACATATATAATCTATAATAATTGAAATGTGACTGTATTTTACAAAGTACTAGTCGACTAAAACACTGTCAATATACTTAAAGAGTACTTCATTCTTTTTTCTAGTGCATTTAATTAAGACCATTTCATATGTTTTCATTTCTTATGTTTAATGAAGCTAATTTTACTGGTCTGTTCTTTTTTATTTTATCACTTAAAGAGCATAAAGATTAACAGAAGGTTATTTGATCCCTTCAGATTTTTTTTTACTTCATAAACAGTAAAAACCAAGGAGTACAGCTGTAGCATATGATCTAGTTGTACTACTTTCCATATAGCTACTGTTAAAGTTAACTGTTTTAACAATAAAACTTGGCAAAAAAACAACAAACTGCAATGACATTGAAAGACTGTATTTGCAACAAATTTTAATAAAAATATCAATTGTGGTAATCTTTGTTGTCTCCACCACCTCCATCACCAAATTAATTTTGAATTGTGAATAAAAAGGAAGCTCCACTTGTAATTGGTAAGATAGGCTCAAATCAAAATATTTTATACACATTGAAAGCCTTTTGAAAATCGTCCAGTTAGGACAGGTAGAGTTGGTTATTTAACTTTTTATTTTTAATTTGCTATTAATTTTAGTTTATGCTAATCAATTCTACATTTTTTTATTTTCTTTCTGGTCTGTATTGTTTCTTTTGTGATTTTTTTTTAATCATGTAACATGCATTTCTTGACTACAAACACTTGCATACTAAAAATCAGAACAGGCACTATGCCTGATTATTTATGACTGGAAAGCTACGGAATGGAGTCTTACAGCATAAATGCAGATCTGTAGTAAATTTCTTAAACAGATATGTTACTAAAGATTGCAGCTGAAAGGTATTAGTGAAAGTATATTTTACTTTACTTGTACATTGTTCTGTACATTTATGTAAGGGATGTTTTGAAAAAAAAGTTTTTTGTATTGCATCCTTTTTTTTTGGTAAATTTGTTTTAATACATTAATATTATATACTTAGTTAACTTTTACTACAAGTGACTGTGGAAAGCAATTGTGTGTCAGTGAACTGTATTAAATAAATTATTATTTTTTTACCTCTATAACATCAGAAACTGAAGTTTCGATGGCTGAAACATCTGCATCCAGAGTTCTGAATGAAATAGAAACTGATAGTGATGAAAGTGATGGACAGTCAGAAATGTGTCCTGTATGTTTAAACAAATTCCGTGGGCAAGAAATTGGAACTCCAGAAAGCTGTGACCATTCTTTCTGTTTAGAGTGTTTACTTGAATGGTCCCGGGTAAATTTGAATTACATTCTTTATAATTTATAGGGGATTTTTAGATGTGTAAAATGTATGATTTATTTATGCCTCTTATTTTAATTTGGTCAAATGATTCATTGTTTCTCTATAAATATTTTTTTTAGATGTTATCATTTTCATTATGATGTGCTTTGGAAATGCTTAAAGACCATGGAAAGAATACAGCTGTTAATATTAGTTAAAAAGATTTTACATGCAAAATGTATACAAAATCTAGCAACTCAAATATGGACTTCGTAGGCTAACCAAAACTAAAAGGGGAAAAAAAACAACTGTACTAATACATTTTTATTTTCTAGTTTGAATGGTAGATTAAGATATATTTTAATTGTGTTTTAAAGTTAGTAGTTGAATTTAACATTTGATTTTGTTGTTATATATACATTATTTGTTTGTTTTCTTTATTTAATACTCCTATAGAATGTCAACACCTGCCCAATAGACAGACAGCGATTCAGTCTCATTTTTGTTCGTCTTGAGTTTGGTGGAAAAATTTGCAAGCGGGTAAACAGTTTTGAAGTGTTTATGTTGTTTAGGTTTAAGAGTGATATTTTAGGAATTCTTTCAAAGATATAACGTTTTTTACTGAGCTAGATTTAGGCTTGTTCTTAGAGACTTGCATAGATTATTAGTCAAAGTTAACTAATCTTGTGGTTTATTAAAGTTACAAAGTACAACATTCTTTTTCTTTATTCTATTTTCCTCTTTTTAATATATTTTACTTCTACTTACTTGTTTATAAATTATTTTATTTTGTATCCAACTGACTTATTTTTATAAACTCCTACTGTAGTAGGTGACAGGCAGGAAGACAAAGGGACATTGTGGGCTAGAGTACCTTTTGTTGCTTTTATGGGGGCTGAGCAAGGCCCAGTGTTAGGGCTGTGTTCAAAGGATTGTACACTAGCCAGGAATTTGAAGATAGCTCTAAACATTTGAAAATTCACCAGACAACATTCAGTCATTGTCAGATTTTTTCTCTTGTTAACAGAAGTTGTTTGACAATGTTTGAATAGTAATCAGAAAAATATCACTTGCATGAAAAATTTGATTGCTTGATTCATATAATGCCCATTACTTAAACAGAAGCTGTTGTATGAAAAAAAAACAAGAAAAAAAAACACCACCAAAATGTTATGTGTGGCAGCTTACTGTTTGTATCACACATAACATCAAATATGTGCACATAAACAATGTGTATTTTGTAATTTCATTTAAGACATTAAAACATGATGACTGTTCTGTATAATATATTTTCAAATGTGTGAATCTTGAAGATAGCTTTTATATGCGGAAACATCTGTTAGCTGAGTTATTGCACAGATCTTAAAAATATAACGTTGATAAATGGAAACATCGGCACATGTAGATACGTAGATCTTGAAAGTTGAGTTGTTCAAAACTTGAAAATAGC